CATTGTACCCATTTTTCCGTACCCGTTTCGGGCGTCCAAATTGGAACAGCAGTTATCCAGTTGGGTTCTCGCTTTGGAGCTGGAGGCCATCTCCAAGTTGGGCCTTTCCCAGGATCCCGTTTTCCAGTATGTTGGGCGTTGCCAGCAGCCTAGGCTTAGGGAGATGCCTTTAATCGCTGATCAGGTCGAGGGTCCATGTTTGGCCGATCGGTGCGCCTGGTGGTGGCAGTCTGTCCTCGTTCAATGGAAGCTTCTTGTTAGGCTTGCTCCCGCTGACGCGGACCCGACAGCCCCGCCACAGCCCGACCTTGCCCATGCTGCTTAGTACCGTTCGACCCTGGCTTGGCTCTCCCAGCAGGTGCCTCACGAACCGCTCGATCTCTCGGACATCGCACAGACTCTGCTGTTTGACCGATGGCACGAGCGTCTCAGGACTGTTTTCTCGGCCACGTATGATGAGCTTCTGCTGTATATTGCGGAGGCCACTTCAGGCCCAGGGGGGATCCTCACTGGAGGGGGGCGGTGATATCCGTGGCCAATCCGAGACTGGAGCCCCACCGCGTGCCGGACGCTGAATTCCTTGTCCAACGGTTCCCGAACCAGTGCCCTCACCGAAGGGAGTGCGAGCGCGTGGACGGGCGGGGAAGTGGCCACCCGCTGCGAGCGCAAGGGCCACCGCAGGTCTTTGGACGCGACGTGACAAAAACGCATACCCTCACCGTACGTCTTGTGATGGGCCTGTTTTCCACCACCACCACCATAAGTTTGAGGGGGGAGGGGGTCCTCCTCCCCCTCTTCTTCTTCCTCATCCTCCTCACCCTCCACCTCCTTCCCACCTCCAACTTATGGTGGTGGCGGCGGAAAACAGGCCCATCATCGTGCTTCTCTCACTGCGGGGGGCCCCCGGAAGTCCCGAACAGGGCGGGCGTTCCCTCCCAAGTCCTCCTCTGACGGGCCCCACGGCCTGGCGGAGGCCCCCCTCGGAGCCGAAGATCGGCCGACCGCGTCCCGTCGTGATCTTCTTCGCGGCGCGACGGGCCTGGGGGACGATCTTTAGCATCGCTTACCCGATCCCCATCCCCATCCGCATCCCGAGCCCCACCATACCACCCCAGTTGGGGGTATACACATTGTTCATTTCGAAGTATTCGAAGTTCTCTGATTTAATAAGGGGGCCAAGGTCGTTTCATTCCTAACTGCTTTATCCTGGGCCTCTTCCTGGCCACTGGGGGGCCAGGAACAATCAGAAACGGGCACACTTAGAAATGAGCACGATTAGAAATGAACGACGTGTACACTTCGAAACCCGATGGGAGCAGCCGAAGTCCCCCATCCAGGGGGGCAGATCGGCCAGTGGGGCCCAGGCCACAGCGGTGCGGACAGGGATCGGTGAGACGATCCTCAGATTCGCCCTCGGCGCCGCCAGGCGGCGGCGAGATGCCAGAGGTCCCGACCGCCTCCACGGGGGGGGCAGCGAGTCGCCTTGGCTCCGTGTGCTGGTCCCGTGGCCCGAGGACGGCCCTTCTGAGGCCGAAGCCGAGCAAGAACGCAGAGATCCGCAGAAATGATGTTGCGTGAGATCTCGACCCAGCCAGCATTTCGTCGGGCGTGTCCCTCTACAGGGGGAACATTCAAAAATGGTCAAACAAAATCGTCTGGGGACGATGTGTTCGACTATCTTTGGCTATTTTGGGGTACTGTTTGATTTTTTCCCAACCATCCTGTGGTGTTGGGTCCTCGTTTTGAAGAGACGGTGCCCCGCGTTCCCGCCTCCTTCCTCCCTCCTCCCCCCTCCTCCCCCTCCCACACCCATTTCGGTACACCCTTCACACGTTTCGTTGCCCCATTGGGAGCTCCACCGACGGCCCCAGTGGCTGCGTTCGCTTTTGCGGCACATGCAGTTCCACTCCCCATTTCGGCACACCCCTCACACGTTTCGTGGCCCCGTAGGGAGCTCCACCGAAGGCCCCAGTGGCTGCGTTCGCTTTTGCGGCGCATGTGGTTCCACCCCCCCATTTTGGCCACCACCCATTACCGTTTCGTGGCCCCGTAGGGAGCTCCACGGAAGGACGCAGTGGCTTGCGTTTCGCTTCTTTTTTTTTTCTTTTTTTTTTTTTTTTTTTTTTTTTTTTTTTTTTTTCTTTTTTTTTTTTTTTTTTTTTTATTTTTTTTTTTGTTTTTTTTTATTTTTTTTTTTTTTTTTTTTTTTTTTCTTTTGCGGCGCATGCGCGTTCCCCTCCCCATTTCGGCACCACCCCTCACACGTTCGTGGCGGGAGCTCCACCGAAGGCCCCAGTGGCTGCGTTCGCTTTTGCGGCGCATGCGGTTCCACCCCCCATTTCGGCACACCCCTCACACGTTTCGTGGCCCCATAGGGAGCTCCACCAAAGGCCCAGGTGGCTGCGTTCGCTTTTGCGGCGCATGCGTTCCACCCCCATTTTGGCACACCCCTCACACGTTTCGTGGCCCTAGGGAGCTCCACCGACGGCCCCAGTGGCTGCGTTCGCTTTTGCGGCGCATGCGGTTCCATCCCCATGTCGGCACACCCCTCACACGTTTCGTGGCCCCATAGGGAGCTCCACCGAAGGCCCCAGTGGCTGCGTTCGCTTTTGCGGCGCATGCGGTTCCACCCCCCATTTCGGCACACCCCTCACACGTTTCGTGGCCCCGTAGGGAGCTCCACCGAAGGCCCCGGTGGCTGCGTTCGCTTTTGCGGCACATGCAGTTCCATCCCCCATGTCGGCACACCCCTCACACGTTTCGTGGCCCCATAGGGAGCTCCACCGAAGGCCCCAGTGGCTGCGTTCGCTTTTGCGGCGCATGCGGTTCCACTCCCATTCGGCACACCCCTCACACGTCGTGGCCCCATAGGGAGCTCCACCGAAGGCCCCAATGGCTGCGTCGCTTTTGCGGCGCATGTGGTTCCACCCTCCATTTCGGCACACCCCTCGCACGTTTCGTGGCCCCATAGGGAGCTCCACGGAAGGCCCCAGTGGCTGCGTTCGCTTTTGCGGCGCATGCAGTTCCACCCCCCATTTTGGCACACATCTCACACGTTTCGTGGCCCCATAGGGAGCTCCACCGACGGCCCCAGTGGCTGCGTTCGCTTTTGCGGCGCATGCGGTTCCACCCCCCATTTCGGCACACCCCTCACACGTTTCGTGGCCCCATAGGGAGTTCCACCAAAGGTCCCAGTGGCTGCGTTCGCTGTTGCGGCGCATGCAGTTCCACTCCCCATTTCGGCACACCCCTCACACGTTTCGTGGCCCCCCACGGAAGGCCCCAGTGGCTGCGTTCGCATGCGGTTCCACCCCCCATTTTGGCACACCCCTCAAACGTTTCGTGGCCCCATAGGGAGCTCCACCGAAGGCCCCAGTGGCTGCGTTCGCATGCGGTTCCACCCCCCATGTCGGCACACCCCTCACACGTTTCGTGGCCCCACAGGGAGCTCCACCGACGGCCCCAGTGGCTGCGTTCGCATGCGGTTTCACCCTCCATTTCGGCACACCCCTCGCACGTTTCGTGGTCTGAGGCGGCACCACCGAATGCCGCAGCGGCAGGTTCGGCATGTCGGTGTTGCCCCATGTCTGTACACCCCTCACACGTTTCGTGGCCCCATGGGGAGCTCCACCGAAAGCCCCAGTGTCAGGGTTCGCATGGCGGCCTTGGGCCATTTCGGCACACCCCTCACGAGGATCGTGGCCCCATGTCGGCAGTTTCGTGGCCCACCGAAGGCCCCAGTGGCTGCGTTCGCATGCGGTTCCACCCTCCATTTCGGCACACCCCTCGCACGTTTCGTGGTCTGAGGCGGCACCACCGAATGCCGCAGCGGCAGGTTCGGCATGTCGGTGTTGCCCCATGTCTGTACACCCTCACACGTTTCGTGGCCCCATAGGGAGCTCCACCGAAAGCCCCAGTGCAGGGTTCGCATGGCGGCCTTGGGCCATTTCGGCACACCCCTCACGAGGATCGTGGCCCCATGGGAGCCCCACCGATGTCGCCCGTGGCAGCATCCTTCATGGCTCTCAGAGCCCTCTCCTGCTTCTGCTCCTCGGTCAGGGGGACGCCGTCCTCGTCGTCGTCGGCGCCCGCGAAGACGGCCACGAACGTGTCCCTGAGCATGTCGGGCCCTGGCGGGGAGCCGTGGCTACATAGGGAGCGCGGGCGAAGATGGTATTCACAATTGCGGTATTCACAACTGCGTATGGTTGGGTCCTTCGCCAGGCTAATCTGTTGTTTCGACCAACATTCCCCTGTAGGAGGACAGGCCCGACTTAATTAACCCCAGGACCAGTTCTCTCCATCCCGACTTCCTCTCTTCGACCGCCCCGGGGGCCGTGGGAGAGGGCCCCGCGAGAGGTTCCCAAAGGCGGCCGTGTCGTGTCGTGTCGTCTCACGACGCGAGGGGCCCGGGGCGGTTGCTGCCCGCCCCCCCCACCTCCAGGAGGGGAAGCAGCACACAGACACAATGAATCGTCGACCCCCCAGAAAACGTGGGGAAGCTGTGGGACATGGGGGGGAGACGAAAGCCCAGAAGATAGATTGGAAAAGGTGGGGATCCTGTTTTTTGTGTCAATTACTTCTGTGTCGACGACGACGACGACGACTGGACGACGACGACGACGACGACGACGACGACGACGACGACGACGACGACGACGACGGCGACGACGACCACGACGACGACGACGACGACGACTGGACGACGACTGGACGACGACGACTGGACGACGACTGGACGACGACTGGACGACGACGACGACGACGACGACGACGACGACGACGACGACGACGACGACGACGACGACGACGACGACGACGACGACGGCGACGACGACCACGACGACGACGACGACGACGACTGGACGACGACTGGACGACGACGACTGGACGACGACTGGACGACTGGACGACGACGACGACGACGACGACGACGACGACGACGACGACGACGACGACGACGACGACGACGACGACGACGACGACCGGCGCCGCCCCGCGAGGTGTGGGCCCCTGGGGCGGCCGAGGCCGGCCCCTCTGCGGCGCCGCCCGCCAGCGCCGGCTCCGCGGCCCTGGCGCCTCGCTGCCTGTCACGCGCCGCGGCCGAGGGGCGGGGAGGCCCCGGGGGTGCGGGGGGTGCGGGCGCCAGAAGCGGAGGAGGGGGCGGTCGGGCCGGACGAAAGGGGGGGATTGGGAAAGGGGGGTCTACGACATCTGCTGCATGCAGCTGGTTTCGGCCCCACCGAGGGGCCCATTCCTCAATACTTGGCTCCAACAAAAGTTTCCTTGGAAACTCGCAAGAGGAATAATATGTATGTAAACCCGTCGGCAAGATGAAAAGTCGCGCGTGCGTGCTCAGCGTTCGCACGCACGCGATCCCAAGACGTCCCATGGCCACAACATGCTTCCAGGAATGCCTCAGGCCACGGACGATAACGTCCAGAGGACTGATGCCACCCCAACGCGATCCCGCCATGGATTCTGGACCGTCTCAGGCCGACTCGCAGGTGACGAAACACATGAGCAACGCGTGACGCCGAGATGGCCCGATGGCAACAAGATGGATCCAAGCGCACCCAGGGTGGCCTCATAATGACCACGCGATGGTTGCGTGATCCAAACATGACCGGGATATGATCTCAAGATGACCTCAAGACGACCCCAACACGGCAATAATACTGCAACTTATGAGCCCCATTTTACTTCGAGCCGATCCCAGCATGGTGGGATCCGTGAACGGCCCGGGATTTTGGTCTACCCCATTTTTAATGGGTGGGATTTTGATCGTCCTGAACTAAACTTATAATATTAAAGCGGAATAAGCCAGGCGGGATCCCGCGCGGCCTACGGAGGAAGACAACATTGCTAGGCTTCTACGGGGGTAGGGGGTTCGGATGGGGCGTCGTTTACTTCCGCTGACACTGGCAAGCCTTCCGGCGGCCTTCCCCCGTCTTCCGCCTCGTTTTACTTCCGTCGACTTCCGCCGTCCAGCGTCGTGATGAAAATTCCAGGAACTTTCATTGGGCCGATGTAGATAGCCGCCTCTGGCGCTGGGAGGCGCCTGAAAATCGGCTACGTGAGCTGATTCTCAAACCCCCGCTTTGCTATCCCCGCTTTCGCCCGACCCGAGACGGGTGTCGGGGCCCACGAGACGGGGGCCCGTGCAAACGGGGGTCAGCCAGGGCACCAGGGCCTGCAGGATCCTGCGAAGACCCCTTCTGGCTGACCTGGGTTAGCGAGCCGCTCGTGGCCGCGAGGCGGCCGCGCATATTGGCTGACCCGGGTTTGCGAAGACCTACGTTGCAGTGCTTGCACTGAAGGGGTCCTAGCGGATGGTGAAGGATTTGGCAGAGATTTTCCGCCGATTTTGGTGGCAGGCTGGGCTCCCGGGTTCCCGGGTTCCCGGTCATTGGTTCCGGGCCGATTTCGGTGGGTTTTGGGTTCCCGGGCTCCCGGGTTCCCGGTCGATCTCCTCAGCGAAATCCATCCACTGATTGGGGTTGTTCTCTGGTGTAATTTAACCAATCCCCATCCCCATGCTCATCCCCTTCGAGACCCCCACCAGATTACACCCCCAGTTGGCGATGCACCCCTCGAAATCTGAAGGATACGGCCCATTCCCCATCTAGGGGGGTAGATCAGCCAGTGGGGCCCAGGCAAGGCCGCTGGGGATGGGGATCGGTTAAACGATGCTCAGAGGAAGGACGGGTTCAGGCGTCGGGTTGCGCAGCCCCCGCATGTAGCTTCTTGATGGCTGCAGTAGGCCCCTCCAGGCGGAGCGTGCTCCTCGAACGTCGTTCTTCTGAGTCCGAAGTGAAGTTGAGGAGCAGGTATCTCACGTCATCGAACCTGTCCCCGTCCCCACCGGGCCATGGCCGCTCAGCCCCAGGTGCACCAGCCCAGCCCCCCAGTTGAGGATAGGCCCCTCGAAACCAAATGGGAGCAGCCTACATCCCACAATCCAGGCTCGTAGATGGGCCAGCGGGGCCAAGGCCATGCCTGTGGGGATGGGGGTCGGGGGGATGGAGATCGGTGAAACAATGTTCAGGGATGGTAAGGCTTCGTTCTGCGCACAGACAGCCTCGCACGGTAGCCCCTGCTTGCTTCAGCAGTCCCCCCCGGTATTCAGGAGTCCCAGTTGGCCTCAACAGGCCCTCCGAGTGGTTTTGGGCAGTCTTATAATTCGCTGGCGCCGCCTCCAGTGGGGCGGTTCGCGCGAGGTGTTGAGATCTCCCCAGGCTATTCGGGAAGCCTGTTGAAGCCAGCCAGGGCTACCTGGGTGGACTGTCTGTGCGCAACCCGAGGCCTTGCCAAGGCGGGATGAGGATCTGAGGCGGAGACTTCTTCATCACCACCGCCTGGGGGATCGAGCTTCGGGGGTCTCGGTGGCCAGTTGATGTGGATATATTCGGGCCCCTTGGGGCCGAAATGATATCCATGTTCACCGTCCGCTGGGGTTGCAGCCTCGGGGAGCCTTCCAGCGGTTGCGCCTCGCCGTCAGCGTTTTGGGGGGAGGGAGGGGCCGGATCGTCACGGCCGCCGGATGCCCGAGCTCTGGCCCGGAAGCCACCAGGGAATCGGGAGGAACGAGCGAGGGCGAGGAGAAGTGGCACGAAGATATCTCCGACGCTTCCTGGATGTGTTTGCAGAAGTGGGGCGCTTGCCAGCTCCCGCCCAAGTCTGGCCTGCTTTGTCTTCCCAGACCGAGGCCCACGAGGTCTGAGTTGTCTGACGCCTGGGGCGGGCGGCTCTGACGCCTGCTCCTGCAGTGAACCGAACCGAACCGAAGATCTCCGACGGCATGTCTCGAGTATAGAGGATCGTCTGCAGGATTGGCCCCAAGAGTGATGCCCCCGTCGAGTCCACAAGACACAGACGTCGCTTTTTCCTCATGGGTTCGACGAGAAATACATCTGCTGGTCTGCATCAAGCCTGCAGTCGATCCGCTGGCCACCCGAACGCTTCTTTCCATGCGGGCATTTCTGCCTCGACCTCGGCATATCTGGGCGCCGCTCCCGGGCCCCTCGGGCGTTGGCCCCGGGGCGGGGAGGGGGGGGGCCCGCGGGGCCTTGGCAGCAGCGACGGTGCGTCTTCCGCCGAGGAGGCAGGGAGGAGGGAGGGGGATGCGAGATGGGGTGGGCCTGGGGAGGAGGAGGGGGTGGGGGGGGAACAACGGGAGGGACAGATTTTGAGCGGCGTGATCCCTCCCGTCCGTGTGAATGGTCGAAGGGAACGACGAGAGGAGCCCCGGCACCTGCCCCCAAGCCTCTCCTGGGCGGCAGGGGCTGCCGCATGAGTTGTAGCCCTGAAGGGCATACCGAAGCAGTAGCTGAGAACGTCTGACCCCAGCCATCTCCCCCGCAGGTTGTAGCTGATAGCATTGGCTCCAGCTTCGCCCTCTTCCACCCTGGTCCCCTCGTAGGGGGGCGGGCCTGGCTCGGCTTCACGCCAGGGCCCTTCCTCACACTTCTCGCAATGACCATGTGCACTGCCGCTGCCGTCCCCCGAACACGAACTCCTCCCAGAATTGTAGCTGATATGTCGCTCACTGCCGCCCTTCACAGATGAACTGCTCCCAGCATTGTCGCTGATATGTCGCTCCCTGCCTTCGCCAATGATCTACTCCCAGCGTTGTAGCTATGAGCCACTCGCAGCCTTGTAGCTGATGGGTCCACTGCCTGCCTTCTCGCACGAACTACTCCCAGCGTTGCAGCTGATTTGTCAGTCACTGCTGTCCCTCTCGTGTAAATTCCTCGTAGCGCTGTAGCTGATTCGTCGCCTACTGCCTGCCTTCGCGCCCCCGACCACTCCCAGCGTTGTAGCTGGTATGCCGTCCACGTCCTGCCACGCCAGGTAGCGAGAGAGATTGCTGTCACTGCTCTGCCTTCTCGCACGCACGACCTAGTCCCAGCCCTGTAGATGACGATGATTCTGCTGATGATGAGCTGATGCTGATGACGAGGATGCTGCTTCTGATGGCGATGGTAATGCTGCTGATGATGCTGATCTGACGACTTTAGCCCGCGCGGGCTCTGGAGCGCGAGCTGCCGGCCACAGTTCCCTTCGCATGGATTCTTCCCAGCGTTGTAGCTGGTCCTTCGCTCACTGCCGCCCTCCTCGCACGAGCAACTCCCAGCGCTGTGCCTGAAATGTCCCCCACCGCTTGCCCAGAGCTCGAGCTTCGCCTCGACTCTGAAGGCATGTGGGTGTCCGCCGCCTGTCCTGAAGCAAAGAGGGGGGAGAGACAGAGGGCAGAGAGAAAACGGCGAACAAGGGATGAAGCCACTTGAGCGGGCGTGGGTTCTCTCAATCCTGAGCATACAGTCATCACTCCTCTCACGTTGGAGGTCGGGGTCAAGCGCCACATAGAAAGGGGCCACAGCATCAGGAATATTATATTCCTGCCCCTCCCTATGCAAACACCCGTCCCTCGGGCGGATTTCTTCGGTGCGGCTGGAGGCGAGGAGGTGACAGAGACGAGGGGGATACGTTGTAGCTTTCCAAGTGCGCCAAGCTCCGCCCCCTTCCAACCCTTGGAGAATCTGATGATGGTGAGACCCATCACAGAGCTCCGTAACGCGTGACGAGGCAACGAGACGGCGGAGCGACGGACAACAGACAGCGATCAAGGTCGTCCGATTCTTTGAATTGGCACTGGTCATGTACACTCACGAAGATGAACCGCATCGACGTTACTCTTACCCATGAGAGCTGGCTGGGGTTCACGAAGAGGGCGCCTGGGTGCGGTGGACACTCGTATGCGGGTGCTCCGTGATGGTTGGGACCCCATGCTGAAACGCGTGGTGCAAGAACAGGATAGTGGTGCGGAGAAGGGCGTTGCCCAGGACGACAGAGGTGCACGGGTGGGAGGAGAGGGGTGAGCAGAAGCCACGTCACCCTACGGATCCTCATTCACAAGGGGGGGAAAGGTTCACTGAAGCTAGTAGCGATGTTGGGACCTTGACGCTCGACAGCGGGATACTCGGCACAATGCTCATGACCGTGGGCAGCCTTATGATTCTTCTGACTAGCAGGGTCCAGCTCCCCCCAACACTTCACTCCATCCAGAGAGGGCTTGCTGGTACAAGCCTGCCGCGCCAGGCAGCAGGCAGGAGGGCGCGCTGAGTGCGTGGAGAGCCTGCCGGGGGCGTGGTAGTTTGCGAGGCAAGCTTGACCAGCCGTGCCGATCGCCCAGGTGAGAGTGTTTCCACCTCTCTTGTGGTATTTGCCCGTGCGGGCAGCAAGCGCCTGACGAGAGCGAGAGGAGCAACTAGTTACACTCATCGCAAAAGTAAGTGTCCTCGGCGGGGCGTTCTCGCGTGCTCAGCCAGCTGCTGATCGAGCTCTTTAGTCGACTGAGCCTCGGCCTGGTGAACTTTGCAGCGAAGAGTCGTGCTTTGACCCGGCCCACGAAGCACGAGGACAAGAGCGGGCGATTTGGAACCAGTCCCCGGGCCCCCCCCCTTCCCAGGGGACTCAGAAGTTCAACGCGAAGGTCATGAGCCAACGAAGATTGCGCATGATGCGAGTAGGCCAGCGCCTGGGATTATGCAAGGGAGTGTCAAGAGCCACACGCAGCATGGGCGGAGCAATGCGAAGCATCCGGTCAAGATAGCAGAGCTTTGCTACCGACAACACAACCTCTAAAGAGCACCTGTCGGACTTATGGAGCACACGCTTGGAAGTGACCCCCTCGTTCTGATGGTTGGTCAGCGGTAACCCCAGACATGCGCGGTACACCGTGACATGCAGTCCCCAAACCATTTGGAACAGTTTCGCAGAGAGCGGTCCCCAGGTAGCAGCATTGTAGAGCAGTTTGCTCGTCGGAAGCGCTTCCCCGATCTGCCGAACGAAATCCCCAGGGAGTGTGCTTCGTTGGTTTGCGAGCACTGTGTTCGCACTCAGGGGACACAGTGGAAGCACAGCGGTCAATCTCAGCACACATGGCACCATTGTCCATGACCATGCTTCCCAAGACATTCTGCACACGCGCAACAGGAACGGACACAGCCACGCGGCATCCTTTGACCCCTTGCTCTCCCTGGAGAAAGACCGCCGCGATTCCTCCCCAGCAAACCTGAACAGAAGGTCTTCTCCTCGGTGACCTCAAATCCGATCGCCGCCACATCCTGGGACAAAATATCCAGCGCCCTAGGCGCGCACTCCAGGGGAGATGCCGTCGACAAACGAAACAGAGTTGTGTTGTTTTTTGTCCAATCACCCGGCAGAGTGAAGAGGGGGTCGTGCCCTTCAGGCAAGGCCTGGGGTTTCCAGACCAGACCCCTCATGAGGTTCTACACCGAATGAGCAAGGTGGGCAAAGGAAACATTAAATAATCAGTGGTGCTAATGTTGTCAGGCTCCGTCCCACGCACAGACTTAACAAAGGAGCTGGCCCCTTCAATAGACCACCCCCTTGCTGGGTTTTACAGAGTAGCACGACACAATGCTCATCAGGGATCGCACAGTCTAAGATCGGAGTGCTCTGGAGGTGCGCAAGCACCGAGGCAAGGACCGTGGGCTGGAAGTCAGCATGTCTGAGAGCCTCCATGAGGTCGTCTTGGTCGTGTGGCAGGGAAGGCACACATTAATTGACCACCTTTTGAGGCGGCCACCAAGTCGACCAGCAGCGCGCACACAGAGACACGCGCCGCGGCCTGAGCAGCCATGAGAGTGCGTACGAAGTGGCTGGCAAAGTCAGTGAATTTCCTCTGGAGACCCCCACACTGCCACTCCAGGAGACAACGATCGATGTGGTCCCACGCCCTCTGTCTGAGAAAACAATGGTGAAACTTGCAAAGATACAGACTGCGCTGAGGCTTGGCATGCCTTGTGACGCCTCTGCCTTTTTTTATGGAAGGCCGAAATCCATCCACACTCCCACTCAGCGGGTGTCCGCAGAGCCATGCCAGTTTGGACCATGATGGGATGATGAACAAGACTTCGCTCCTTTGGCGCGGCTGCAATTGCTCCCCCGTGCAACCCATCGGGCCCGGGGGTGCTCCCAGCAGACACCACTCTTATGGCAGTGGTGAGCTGAGCCTTCGACATGACGGTGCCCACGCCCCTCTGAAACCCTTCGGGGGATGGACCAGGCCCCTGATCATTATACTCACCCTGCAGCGAGGAGGCGTCGACATATCTCCCTTTTTTCCATGGGCAGAGGAGTGGGCCTGGAGCTCGGTGGCATCCTCAGGCGCCGCGAAGCGCGGGTGCTCCAGCCGCGCCCAGTCGCATCGGCGAGAGGAGGTTTGTTTCCCTTTTGTCGGCGCAGCGAGGCCTCACCCTGAGAGCTACGTCCTTTCCTTCCTTTGAAATGCTCCAACTGACGGACTGCGCACGTGCCTGGCCTTGTCCTGAAGAAAGCTGGCACATCCAGGCAAACTCGCAAGCACCAATCTCGAGCACAGAAAGGGGCTCCCTCCGAGGGCCCTCACCGTGCTATTGCCTCCTCATGCGAGCCCCCTCTGCAGACCTTCTGCACCAGCGCAGAAGCATGGGCAACCTGAGCAGAGAGAGGCGCAGCGCCATGAGGCGAGGAGGTGGAGGAGACAGCAGGAGTGGAGCAGCAGTAGGATCCTCCCTCCCCCTCCTTGCCGAGGTGTAAGACCCTGCGAATCGCTCTGCGCACTCTCACGAGCGTAATCACAACTCCCCGCCGTTCCCGCACGAGTAGATCCCAGCTCTGTAGCTGATTCGCCCTTGCACGGCTGCGGCGATCCCAGCGCTGCAGCTTCTGACGTGGACACCCAGCGTCTCTCTGCACATTGTCCGCGGTCTTCTGCCGGGCAGCGGGAGGAGGGAGAGAGGCGCAACGAGAGGGGGAATGGGGGATGGGACGGCCCACCTTCTTGACGGCTCTCCGGCGACTGTCAGGCGATCGCAAGCATGGATTTCGGGGGCGTGGATTAGCGACGGGTCCTGTTTCCACGGGAAATCCGGATTGCCGCCGCCGAGCGAGGCGGCACCAGCCGCATTTTGGGGAGGGCACCTCCCCCGATCCATGGGTTTGGCGACCGCGCGCCAGATCCATGGATCGTTAATCCATGTTCGCGCGCCCCCGATGGCCTCCCGGTGCGACGCGCGCGCACGGGCTCGCTGGGCCATCCGCCGCTGTCAAGACTGGCCCATCGGAACCCCCCTGACCCCGCGCACAGCCCCTGGGTGGAAGATGGCCATCGCAGGCCTCCACCGAGGGAAGACGATCCCGATCCCGGTGATGGTGGTAAGATTCTGGCTTCCAAGGTGACCGATATATTTTCCTCCGACGCCGAAACCTAGCGTAATCTTTCCCATGTGGAGGCAAACCCCTGTGCTGGTGCTGGTGCCAATTTCCAGGCCTCCAAGGCTAGGAGGGTGGGGGCGGGGGGTGAGTAGGAAGGAGAGGAGGCGGAGGAGAGGGTGCATCCAGCTCGATCCCCCTCTCACGCGGTGGGCACCCGGCGGCGTATTCTGCGCCACCACTGCGAGCGCAGCAGGCAGGGGAGAGCAGGGGCGGCGGGCCAAGGAGAGGACCGAGCGGGAGGCATTGGCGAAGGAGGAGGAGGAGGAGGACGGCGACGGCGTCGGCGACGGCGACGATGCCGCTGGGCCACCGCCACCGCCGCCGCTGTTCGCGACAGCTGACGATACGACTGTTTCAATGCGCGGCTCCAGAGTTCCGACCCATTCCCTGGGGCTGAGTTTGTTCCCATGATCGATTGCCGGTTACCAGTGGCCCCAGGACCCCCCCATGCTCCCAACGATGCCAAAGTCTAGGAAATCTCCCAGCTTGAGAGAAACAATTCAGATCGACGGAGATCTGGGATTCATCTGACGGTCTGATCTTTTCATCGCGCGTCCTCAGAGGTCCCCAACCCTTTCCGCCGGGCCGAGTTTTCTCCCCCCGTGTGTTTCTGATGGCCCCAGGGCCCAATGACGGCCCCCAACAGAGGACAAATTCAGGGATCGCAGCAGAAATAACTATAGTGGGGAAGTCCTGGGGCCTCTAGGGGACTCTTGGAAACCCTTGTGTGGCTTGGTGTGGAAGCATAACTGCGGGGCCTTTTTGGCCTTCTCGGGGGCCTCCGTGGGCCGTGGAGGCATCTTGGGGGCGTCGCGGGAGCCTCCCGCGCCGTCCCCAGACATGCGATATCCCGATGTATTTCAATGTGCGGCCTTGGGGCCGGTTCTTCATCCCGGCTCGCTTTGTGACGGCCTTGAGGCCCGGCGAGGGCCCCCAGAGGGCGAACCTGGCCAAACATGTGGACCGCCGATGAGTTTTGCACGACGAGAGCAGGTCTGAGAATCCTGGAATTGTTGAGGGGCCGTCGGGGCGTCGTCGTCGGCGTCGGCCACCCCAGAGATCCGATGTCGTGACTTTTTCAATACGCGGTCCCCGGAAGTCTTGACCCATTCTCTAGGACCGTTTTTTCATCCTGAGTCGTTTCATGTCGGCCCCGAGGCCCGGCGAGGGCCCCTGGGGTCCGACATTTGTGAAAAACCTTAGGTTTTTTTCAATGCGCTGGATCTCTGGGACAGCGGCCGCCTCGCCCACCAGGCGGCGCCCCGCCGCGGGACCCGAGCGCCTGCGGGGCGGACGGCGCGGCCGGTTGCTGGCCCGGGCCGGAGCCGTGCGGCCCCTGGGACGGCCGCGCGGGGTGGCTGCAGCTGCCGAGGCTCCGCGGCGCGCCGCCGCCCCGGCGGCAATGCCGCCGGGGCGGCGTGCCGTCATCGTCGTCGTGGTCGTGGTCGTCGTCGTCGTCGTCGTCGCTCGTCGCTCGTCGCTCGTCGCTCGTCGCGTCGCCCGCGGGGGCGCGGCTGCGGTGCCAGAGTCTTTCGGCGGGGGGGGGGTTACGTCATACCCCCTTCTCGTCCCCCCCCCATGACACCCGTCATCGCCGAACATACAGAAACGCGCTCCATCGCCGCAGCCGCCGCCGCCGCCGTCGCCTCTCGGCGGCGAAGTCCGAAGCCGACCCTCGCCGATCGCAGGGGGGGCGAAGACGTCGTTCCAGAGCTCACTTTCCTCGTGCCCCGATTCTGGGAGGATTGTTATCAGTAGCGCGCGACCCCGCCTCGACCTCGCACCCGCCTTCTCCTTACCTGCCAGCACAGACACCCACTCAGAGACTCACCGGCACAAATCCTGGAGCTGGCTGAGGGTCTGAGGTGGCCCAGCCCCGGTTTCGGCCAGCCGGGAGGGGGGAGGTTCGAGGCTCTGGGTTCGAGATGGTTGTTTGACCCTTCGGGGGCCGTTTTTGGGCCTCGGGACCGCGAAACATGTATACACCAGGATCCGGTATACACCAGGATCCGCTTTCCTGTGCAAATTTCAGTGCAGGGCTGGAAAAAAGCGGCAGTGTATAGAATTCGGTTCCCTACCAGGGCAGGGTCCCATCGGAATTCGTCGGCGTCACCCCCTGACCATCTCGCGTCACAAAAGAACACGGTGGTGTCACAAAAGAGCACGCCGCCGTCGCTGTGGACCGCACGCCGCCGCCCCGAGGACCGAGGCTCGAGAGGTTCCGGAGGCTTTCCGGAGAGCTCCCGCGATTCCCAGACCTCCGACAGGGTGCGCTTCCTGCTCATCGGGAGCCTTGAGACGGGGGTCAATGCAAACGGGTGTCAGCCAGAGCGTTGGATCTTGCGGGATCCTGCAGGGCCAGGGTCGCATTGACCCGGATTTGGGCGCAGGATTTTGCAGGATCCTTCGCACTGACCCGGGTTTGGGTGCAGGATCTTGCAGGATCCTGCAAAGCCTGACTGACCCGGGTCTGGATTGACCCGGGTCAGAAGATCCCCGAGTTTAGCCGGAGGATGTAGTTTCATTTCGGCGTCTGGAAGCCCGCTCTGGGCTCCAGGACCATCAAGAACCCTAAACACTACGGAAAGTGGTCGAGAGCTCTGGTGACCCTCCTGACGGAGGGCGCGCCGCTGCGGATGGCGCCAAGGGCGCGCCAGAGGCGAGCCGTTGCGGAGGGCCCCTCCTGACGGTTCGAGGACTCAGGATTCGAGTACCGAGGGTCGAGGCTGCGATTTTGAGGGAGCAGGGCCCAGAATTCATGGCGTCGCGACGCAAACACGACAGTCTCTGGCGGCCTGTTTTGCGCCCTCTCGGTCGTCAAACAACGGCCCGCGACGAGACTCTGCACTTGGCGATGAATCGCGGCTTGCGCTGTGCCAAGACTCTGGCGGTCTTCGGCTCTGTGAGCAGCTTCAGCTCGGCGAATGTTTCGGATCGGCCTCCAGTGGGTCACGAGATGAACCAGCAACTCTGGCCCCCAGGCGTTTCGAGCGGAAACATAACCCTGACAAAAATTGGCCAGAGGGAATTGCGAGTACTGCAAGGCAAGTGAAACGAACGACGGGGAGCTCCGCATGCGGCTGCGGACCCTGTGCGGGGTGTGCCGACATGGGTACGGCGGCCGCGCGCGGCCGCACCCACTAGGGCCTTCGGTTAGGCTCCCTACGGGGCCACGCAACGTGGTGTTGTAAGGGGTGTTCCGAAGCAGGTGGGATGGCCCCGCGTGGACGCACCCACCAGGACCTTCGGTTGGGCTCCCCGTGGGGGGTTTGCCGGCACGGGTGCGGCGGCCGCGTGTGGACGCACTTGCTAAGGCCTTCGGTTCTCCCCATGGGGCCACTTCACGTGTGAAGGGTTTGTCGACCTGGATGGGGCTGCCGCACATGCACGCACCCATCGGGGCCCGAGGTGGAGCTCCATATGGAGCCGCGAAGCTTTTAGTTAAGGGGTTTGCCGAGACGGGTGGGGAGGCGGCCACATGTGAACGCACCAATTGGGGCCTTAGGTGGAGCTCCTTACATGGCCAGGAGACGTATGAAGGGTGTGCCGAAATTGGTTGTGAGAGGCATGGATGGGAGGAGGGACGAGGGGCAGAAGTGAGTGCGGGGCGCTGTCTCTTCAAAGCGGGGACCCAGCACACTATAGGATGGATGGAACAAAACCAGCAGGTGTGGCGTTCTCCTGATGCTTAGTTCGGCGTCTGGGGTTGCCTCCTGGTGAAAACACAGAACGGCCCTAGGTGGAAGAAACAGTTCCGGAGATGGTATGCAAGCGCTCAAGGGGTAGAGTGTTGTAAGGAAACGGTCTCGCGGCTTTGGATCGTCGGAGGTATGGATCCCCCTGCCAGCTTTATTTGCTGCTCCATGCTGTTCCTCGAGGAAGGGGTGGAGCGGATGCGTTTGATGTGTCATTGAGTGCCCCGCATCCGTCTCCTCACCTCGCTTCCCCTCTCACCCTCATTTCTCTTCATCACGTATCATCTCATTCGTCCTTCGTACTCTGACGCGCTCGTAATCCTACCCGTGTTCGGAGTCACTCAGGCTCAGAGTCACGCATATTCGTACGATTCATGTTAAAACATTCGCACTTCGACTCCCGCTCACCTTCTTGCGCAGGAACTCACTCGCCACTCATACCCAGTCTCACTAATGTCCAGATCCACTCACACTCAGACTCAGACTCAGTCATGATCAGACCCACGAAACTCCGATCCACTCGTTCTTGGATTTACCCTGGTTCGCTCACACTTGGACTCCCGAACACTAGGCCCATTCATACACAGACCCTCATGTTCAAACCCACCCGTACTCTGCCGCTCATATTTAGATTGGCTCGTGGTAAGACTGATTCACGCTCAGACTCTCATATCCCGACCGCCAACATTCAGACTCACTCACCCTCTCGCCCTCTCACGCTCAGACTCATCATACTCAAACTTGCCGATACCCAGACTCATCATGCGTAAACTGGCTCATCCCCAGATTCCCTTATACGGTGTAGCAGACATCGCTCGCTGCTTCCCAAGTGGGTGCGACCAGGGTTGTTCCGTTGGCCTGTTCGCTCCCAGGTTGTCGATACTTTCATGCAGGATCGCAGTTTTTTTTCGCGAGGGCGGGGGGGGGGGGGCGAAGACGTCTTTCCAGAGCCCACTTCCCCTGTATTTTAAGTACGGGAGTCCTGTTATTAGTAGCGCGCCTCCGCCTCACCTTCACACCTGGCTGTGCCTTCCCGGCTAACACAGAGACCTATTCATAGACGCATCCTCACTCACATTCTGTCACGCTCCGCCTTCCTCATATCCATACTCACTCATACACAACCTCATGCATGTTCATGACCACCTCGATGTAGCAGGCATCGCATAAGGGACTCTCAACCATTTTTACCCAAGTGGCCACCGACAAGGAGTGCTTCGCGGGTCCGCTCGTGCCCAGATTGACGGGACATCCCATGCCGAATTGTATTTATGTTCACCGAGCGCGTTGCATTATTCGCAAAGCGCCCACTCGCAAACGTCCGAAACGCACATGTCCGCTTTGATGTAAGTTATCGTAGATTATGCGCGGGGGATCCAGGCCATTTGCGAGTCGCGAGTTGCGGAACGCGCTCGTCTATCTGTGGGGAACGGGTCGACGCGTGCATGTTCAGATCCCCGTGGGCACCGCGATGCAGCAGGCATCGCATTCAGGACCCCGATAGGGCGTCGCCAAGAAGTGCTCCACAGGCCTGTTCATGCCCAGCGGGCCAGGATCTCCCAGGGCAGAGTCGCCTTTCGTCGGGGAGGATGGGGCGCATCTCATTATCGATTTCATTGAATCGATTTCACTCTCGGTCTCACGATCGACCTTACACTCGTCCTCACTATCGATTCCACGATCGATTTCATTATCGATCTCACAATCGATCTCAATATCCATAGTATCAATTTTCAAATCATCCACTGATTGGGGTTTTCTCAGGTGTAGTGTTTGTTCTCAAGGCCTCGTGATCATAGCGATGAAGCGGGCATGGCAAATGGGCCTCCCGAGGTAGTGTCGACCAGGGGAGTTCCACGGGCGCGTTCGATCCTAGATTGGCATGACCTTCCAGGTAGGACTGAGTCGGGCGTGTTCCTCAACCGGGGGAATATTCAACAAAAATGGTAAAAAAATAGTATGGGGACGATTTGTTGAGTAGTTTTGCCTATTCTGGAGTATTTTTTGACTATTTTGCTTCCTCCTCCAAAATCCCCCCGTAGGGAAACAGGCCCGACTTAAGGTAGGATTGCCGTTTAGGGGTGTCGGGCGCGTTTGGTTTCAGGGCCTCATGGGCAGCACAATGGGCAGTGGGGCGTCCTAATGGGGTGTCGACCAGGGATATGCCACTGCCTTATTCGCGCCTGGATGGTCCGGACCTGTCAGGTAGGATGGTTTGTTTACAGGTGCGCCTTTCTCTTCACGGCCAAACGAATTCCAGGGGAGGAGGCGGATAGGAGAAGGGGAGGGAGGATGCGGAGGGAGACTGAAAAGAGACCGCGCCGAATAATTTGGGACGGGCGGGCTACAGGAGGTCATCGCCCTCCACTCCAGGATTCGCGTCGAAGTCCTGGTCGAACGGGCCTCCAGGATGTGTACAGTAGGCGCTCGAAAAAGGATTTGGCCTGCCACTGGGCGCCCCCGCGAGAATTTCCCATCTCTTTGTGGGCCCAGAGACTCCTCTGGCACCTTAAGAAGCTCAAGGTCGACGAAGGATGTGCCTCTGGATTCCTTTCGCCAAGATTCCTAATTGTCTTCAAAACAGGCCCGAAGCGCCTGGAAGAAATCACCGCAGGCCCTCTCGGGCTCGAGACAAGCCCGCGCACGGCCCGAGTCGGCATCTCCAATCTTTGCCGTTTCCCGGCGTCCTTGTTTCGGGGCTCAGCGCAAACGTTGAATGCCCACGGTGTTTGATAGCACAGTGGCAATTTCGTCCCTGGCCCTGCCAGTTTCTGCTTGTCTCCAGAGCCCGCGAAAGGTTCAAACGTGTCACACCACGGTGGCCAAATCCATTGAGCAAGCGCTCCACTTACTCACGGCCAGGAGTGTGCGTGTAACCTGTGAGGACCACCTGCGCCCCGACGATCGCTTGGCTTCGGGCGTCCAGATAGCCTCGGATTGCCTCAGGCTGCCGCAGACGGCACCAGATAGCCTCGGGGAACTAGCCAACTAGCCTCTGGCAGACCTTGATCAGCAGCCTAAGCTGATCCTGGATGTATTGCGATCCTCTTGACCTGTTGGATGGCTTCAGCCAGCGCGGATAGCTGGGCCGCAGGGGCAGACAATGTAGAATCTCCCCATGTGTTCGGCAAGACGTTGGTCGTTGGATCTGTCGCGTTTGGGAGCGCATGCTGAAATATCACAAGGACGACTGATGTAGAGGAGATCATGCGCACAACGCATTGCAGCTGACATTTCGCAATTGCGGCGGTCACTGCGTAGATAAGGGGAGCAAGTCCCGAGCAGAGCAGCCCGGACCACCGCCACGGCGACGCCGACGACGACGACGGAGACGAGTCGCGGCGAAAGAGCACACAGATACCGTCAAGATGATGATGCGGGACTGTCTCCGGCTCAGAGGAGGCCCCGTGCTCTTCGTCGGGCCGTGTCTCGGATTGGGGTCGGGGGTGTCTGTTCGTGGCCGAGGCCCGCCGTGGCCCGAGGTGTCCCTTCGCTCCTTCTCTGTTGGCCTTCGGCCGCTCCCGCCACCGTGCCCGGGCTGTGGGTCGTGGGCCGTCTTGTAGGCTCGTGGAGATGTCGCGGGAGGCCTCCCTGGGGGGCCTCGTGGGGGCCGTGTTGAGGCATCCATGGGGGCCTCGTGGGGCATGCCCGGAGTCTCCTGGGGGCCTCTTGGAGAGGTAAACTCGGATTTTCGGTTCGTGCTCCCCCTCTTGGGGTCTGTCGTTGGGCCCTCTTGGGCCGTCTTGGGCGCCTCCGAGGCCGTCTTGGAGCCCTCTTGGGCCGTGTTGGGACCCTCCTGGGGGCCTCTGGGGCCGTCTTGAGGCGGTCCTGGGGGCCTCTTTGCCCATCTTGAAGCGTCGGGAGCTCGAAAAGTCGAGGAACCGAAACTCATTGAAAAACAATTGGCGAATCAATGATTTTGGCCTCTCGGGGCCCTCTTGGGAATGTTCTTGGGGCTCTCTTGGGGCCTCTCGGAGGCCCCTTGGGCCTATCATGGGCGTCTTCGTGCGATATTTGGTGGTCTCGGGGCCCCCGTCGCCAGGATCTCTTGGGGCACTCTTGGCCCATGTTGGGCTCCTCTTGGGCCTGGGCAAGTCACGCGACAAGCCGCAGGAGGCCCTCGAGGGGCACGCGGGGAGGCCCCGGGAAGTTTGGCAAGTTGGGCTGCGGGCCCCCTGAGAATCCCCAGGAGCGACGATTGAGGCTCAGAGGATAAAGGCAGAAGACCCGAGGACACGCCAACTCCGTACCCAGAAGCACGGTGGCAGGCCTAGAGCCTAGAGGTTCACACCAACACCAATATCGGCGGTGTGGCTCCAACGAGGGGGCCAGAGCCCGATCTCGGCGATGGTGGTAATATTCTGGCTTCCAAGGCGACCGAAACATGACCACCAACACCAGGATCTGGAATCACCTTCCCCCCCTGTGGATGCAAACCCCTTTGCGTTGGTGTTGGTGCCTCTTTCCAGGCCTCCGAGGATTCGGCGCTCCTAAGGACAGCGCGAGGTCCTCCTCCTTCTCCTTTTTGTTTCTCCTCATCCTCCTCCTCCTCCTCCTCCTCCTCCTCCTCCTCCTGTCTCGTTCTCCTCGTCGCTCGTCGCGGGACTCACGCGTGGCCTACGTATCTGGCCTTTGGAGACTTGTCGCCCCTTCGTCTCTGGAATGCCGGCGTGGCCCCAGGGCCCCTGAGCGGCAATATGTCCCCTTCCTGTTTGGAGGTGGGCCATGTTGGCTGTCGACGCAGGGCTGATGAAGGTTTGCCGCCACGGATGGCCAGGGGGGCGCTCCGACTTCCCCTCCTCTCCCTCCCCCGTCCTCCTGCTCACGCGTCGCCTCTCCCCCCCCCCCTGCCGAGGTTAGGGGGCCACATGCGAACCCTACCCCTACCCCCCACGATTTCTGAGGGGGAGGGTGGGGTTCACTTCGCTTGGGAGCTCCTGAACGAAGTGAGCCCCACCCTCCCCCTCAGAGATCGTAAGGGGTATAGGGGTAGGGTTCGCATGTGGCCCCCCCTTCGCATGCGGCCCCCCCTTCCCTGCCGAGGTTCCTCCTGCCGGCGGAGAGCTCTCCGCCCGGCCCCGGCGGGGAGGCCGACGTGGCCAGAGAGGGGGCGGCGAACTTCGTCCCGAGATGCGCAAGGCTATAGCGCCCACGCCCGCCCGCCCCCCTGTCCTCGCGGGCGCCTCGAGCAGAGGCCACGACGGCCAGCCTTTGGCCTCCAGGGGAGATGAGCCGCCCCGACCCCCTCCTCGTCCACCGGGAGGCCCTGTAGAAAAAGCACAGACACAACGAATCGCCGATGCCCCGGAAGAGTTGGAGAACCTGGGGAAGAGGGTGAGGGGGACAGACGAGCAGCCAGACAATGTTACGGAACACGGATGGGGAATCCTGGGAGTCTGTGGGTGTGCATTTGTGTGTGCCTGCTGGGCCCCGTTCGAGGAAGCCCTGTCCCGAGCCGTCCCCTGCCCCGAGCGCGCGCCTGCCAGGCGCGCCTCGCCTGCAGGGGGGGGGGGGGGGGGGGGGGGGCGGCCGTCCAGCTCGGAGAGGCCCCGGGGCCATGCGGCACAAGCGACCCGCGACGAGTTGGCTCCCTCCTCCTTTTCTTCCTCCTCCTCCTCCTCCTGCTGCTCCTCCTCCTCCTGCCTCTTCTATTCTCTGTGAGCAAGCTCCTGCTGTCTCCGCAGCTTCTCTGCCCAAGTGCCCCCCGTCGGCCGCGCGTGCGGGCGCCTTATGCAGGCGGTCGCACAAGCGGCTCTCCAGGGCGCTGGGGAGATCTTCTTCAGGGGGCTGCGGGCCGCGCTCTACGAGCGGCTCGTGGCTGCCCCCCTCTTTGTGCTTCAGGACCAGGGGCCTCCATCGCCTGCCTGGTCCATCCAGCAGGCGGACTCGTCCGAGGGTGAGGGGGCCACCTGCCCCCTCCCTTCGGCGGGTTCCGCCTGCCCCACCGTCTGCCTCGGGCTGGCGGTGGACCTGAGCGGCGGGGTCTCTCCCTGGCTGCTCAGCACGGTCGCCGCCCTCCTCTGGGTGACGGCCGCCTGCAGCGCCTGCGCGGGCTGCTGCCTCGGGCTGCTGGGCCCGTGCGTGTGGCGGAGGCTCTGGCCCTCCGCCTGGCCGCGCGGCGCGGTTCCTGCTTCCCCTGAGCAGGACCGCCGTGCGGCGCGAGCGCTGGCCTACGGGGTTCCGCCTCGACCTCAAGCGCTCGAGCGGGCAGACGCCCAGCGTGCGGGCGGCGGCTTCCACGGCGGCGCCCATTGATGGCGGAGCTGCCACCAGTTGGCGGAGGGCCCCTTTGGCCCGAGCTCTACCCTTTCGCTGCGCCCACGGCGCGCGACTACGCACGATGGCGCCTAGACGACGGCGACACCAGCTGGGCGGCTATCCCCCTCGCCTCTCGAGAAGGGGGCATCCTGCTGGCCCTGCCTGGTGCCTTTCGCTCTACGGCGGAGCTCGAGGCTGCCGAGGCGGATGGCTTTGCTGGAATGATAGGCCCCTTCCAGCTAGTGGACGTTCAGCTCCAGGGGGCCGCTTCCCGGCCGCTCGCCACTACCGCATCCGTCCTCGTTATAGATATCGAGGTTGCCGAGCTCGAGCTCGAGTCGCTGTACCCTCTAGAGGTCGGCGACGACGCAGGCATCGTTCCCTTCGCCGAGGTGCGCAGCCGCGTCTATTGGCCGCATCCTTCGGGGGTTCGGGTGCTTCGCGAGGGCTACGCTCGTTTGCACGGCGCCCCGCCTACCGCAGGGGAAGAGCCTCTCCCAGGGGCCGATCGGGCTACCCCCTATCACTCTGCCGACGAGATGGAGGAGCCCGAGGGGTTCGCGGCCGACGGGGAAGCCGACCGCACGGCCCCAAGTGCGCGAGCCCCCGCGGTCGCTGGAGCGCCGCGCGGCCCGCCCGCCAAGCGCGCTGGCGCCGCCGCGCCGCCACGGGTCGCGGGTCCTGCTCCGATTGCTCCTGGTGCTCCTGCGGCGTCTCTGGACGACGGGGCTCCCATGACCCGCGCCGAGGTAGCTGCCGAAATGCGCGCCTTGCTTGCAGCCCACGCGGCCTCCACGATGGTCGGCGGACCCGAGCCGCTGGGCCCCGCTCCGACTGCCCGGAGCGCTCGGCCCGAGGTGCCTCAGCTTTTCAGCGACGAGGCGGCGCGCCTCGGGCTGGATCCTGCGGGGATCGAGGCCGTCTTGTCCCACGCGCCCGTGGCCCCACAGCGGGTCTCCGCGCGCCCCAAGGGGCCCACCTCCGCGCTGGTCTCGGCGTGGGAGAAGGCGCGCTCTCTTGCTGTCCCTCGGGCCCCTTCGTCCGCTTTCGGACCGATGGGCCCCCCGCCGCCGCCTGGGCTAGCCCATCCCGCTGCGGTCGACGGCTTTGCCGAGGCGGGCGGCGCCGACGGGTTAGAGCCGCCCCTTGCGGCCAATCCGACGGACTTCAGCCTCATGCTTCAGTGCCTGCACCAGTCCCTTTCATTGCAGCAGGGGCGGGGCCATCGCCCAGCCTTCCACCCGCTTCTGGGGACCCTGAGCGACCAAGCTCAATCTCCGCCCGCGACCTCAGGCGACCCCGCGCACGCTTCGGCTCAGATGGGGGGAATCGCTCGGAGGCGCGAGTGGCAACAAGTGCTGATGCAGCACGGCCCAGACGTGCGAGGACTGATGAAGGAAAATTTGGCCCGCGTTCTGGGCGTGGAAGTCAGCGCCGCGACCCCTATGGCCATGCATCAGTACTTTCGCGAGCACAGCCCCCTCGGGGCTCAGCCGTCGACGCACGAGTTGTTGACGCATTTTGCCTTCCTCAGCGCCGAGCTGTGGCGGGCCTGCGAAGAGGGCAACCCCGAGAGGGCCCAGACCTTGCTGACTTGCCAGTGCATGTTCATCGACCAGTTGGCGGGGGACCGCGGCTACCTCGAGGCCGCTTGGTTCCTCACGGGGCTGGAGCCTCCCCCGTGTCGCGTGACCAGTCGTCACACGGAGCGCGAGGCCCAGACCCCGTTTTCACCCCTGGTGGATCCTCGCTGGCTGTCGGCGCAGGGCGAATACATGAAGGAGCTGCAAGCATTTCGGGCGCGCCTCGACGCCGAGCGCGCCGTCGCGCTTCCCAAGCATCCACCTCATCAGCCCAAGCAGCCCAAGGTTTCAAAGCCCCCCTTCAAGTCTCAGGGTGCTCCCAAGGCCCCGAAGGCGGTGCCCAAGAAGGACTGAAGATGCCCTTGGCGCCCGCCTTCTCGGAGGGGGGGCCTTCGCGTGGCCGAGGTACGCCGCCGCAGACAGTCTGCACCGACGCTGCTACGGTTGCTAGGCGTGTTTGGGCGCAGCGAGGGCGTGAGGGTAGGAATGCGCTCCTCCAGCGATGCTGTTGCGGCCCCGCAGGGAGGAGTACGTTCCGCCACCACGCCCCCCGCTCTGCTCCGAACCGCTCCTCGGATCCATTCGGCCATTTTGGCCGTCGCCTGCCTCAGTCGAGCGCTCCCTCCATGGGGCCTGCAGCCCCTGAGGTTGGTGTTCTTGCTGGTGCTTGTTCTCCTTCAAGCACCCCTGCTGCTCTTGCCAACGTCGCGCCATTTGTCGCTGACTTGTCTGCCTTGCTGCGCCTGTTTCCAGGCGCGAACATTGATATCACCCACTGGGCGGCAGCGCTGTCCCAGGTTGGGATGGGTGCTCGATGTTCTCTTGGATCTTTCTCCCGCTCATCAATGCGTGCAATGGACAGGGACGACCCGTACCTTTTGGGGCCGCCTCCCCGCGATCCTTGGCCGTGCCCGCCTGCTCCACCTCTTGGTCCCCCGCCTGACGGCTTGTCGGCGAGGCGCAGGGAGCGCTGGAGATTGCGGCGCGCGGCGCGGACGCTCGCGCAGTATTCTGTTATTGCGTTGAACTGGCTCACATTGGGTCATCCTAGCCTCGCTCCCGCCGAGGCTCGTGTCCGCGCCACGGTCTCGCCCTGCCAGGAGGGCGTCCGCACCCGTATCGAACGGTTGTGTCGGATCGCAGTTCGCCTTGCCCGTGGCGGCAAGAGCGACTTAGGTCGAGCCTTCGCCAAGTTCGACTCTACTGAGGTCTCGCTCCATGGCCTGGCCACCCATGTTGCAGCTTTGGAGGCCTCCTTCACCTCCTCTTCTTCCGTGCCCGCCCCCATGCGGCACTGCCCGACCAGCGCTCCTTCCGTGCCTGGTTCGCTGGCGTCTGCGGCGGCTTGGGACTCCACCCAGGTCGAGCCCTTTGATTTAAAAGTCAGGGCGTCTCGCATCAAGTGGGATTATTCGCCAGAGTTTGATCCCATTCCATTTCTCTCTGACGCTCGAGTCCGCGAAGCGTTCATCAATCCTGAGGAGATGCGGCTCCCGGCATCAGAGTGGCCTGCTGGCCAAAAGGGGGCGCGTGTCCATATGGACCGCGCCGAGCTGTGGGCCCTACTCCAGAAGTGGGATGCCTGCGGCGCCCTGTACCTGACTCCTGCTTCGGACCTCGCCTGGGATGAAGCCTGCGGAGCTTTCAGGGTGCCGAAAGACAGCGACTTTGACAGGTTGATCCTGAACCCAACGGTCGTGAACAGCCGCTGTGCCTCAATCTCGTCCAGCACCCAGCGCCTTGGCCAGGGCTTCCTGCTGTGCCGTTTGGGGCTGGCGCCTGGGGAGTGGCTGGCAGTTTCTTGCGACGACCTACGGGAGTTTTACTACACTTTCCGCGTTCCTCCCGCGCGCGCCAGGCGTAACGCCCTGCGCGTTCGTCTGCCATCATCCCGCTTCAAGGCCTTTCGAGCCTGGCGCCCCGAGCTCGAAGGTGTGGACGTCGCGCCTTGCCTCAATGCTCTAGCGATGGGCGACAACATGGCGGTGGAGATTGCCAACTCTGCACATGAAGGCGTCTTGCACAGCTTCGGGGCCTTGCGGCCTCACGAGCAGGTTGTCCACCGCTCGCCCTTCCCGCGGGGACCGTTTGTCGAGATGCTGAATATTGATGACCATACAGGTTTTCAGAAGCTCTCGTGGCATGGCTCCGCTCCTCGCCCCGACGACCCCTGTCGTCGTGATCGTGAGGTCTTCGCCGCCTGCGATGCAGGCTACCCGCGCGTGGGCCTGATTCAGCATCCAGGCAAGCGCGCGCGCGGCGAATCGCACAAGGTGGTGGT